GTAAAAAAAAACTTATGCAGGTGAAAGTCTAGGTGCAAAAAGACTTGGAATTTAATTTGTTGCTTTGATTTGGTTCACGAGAATCATTTGAAGATAATTAGATTATTGGGAAAATCGCATAAAAATCCTTTGAATTTAATTTGTTTTCTTTGATTTGGTTCACGAGAATCATTTGAAGATAATGATTCTTTTTTTAAAAAAAATATAGTGTTTTCTCGTTTTTTTATAAAACAAAAAAATTATTTATTCTTGAAATTATATTTATTTTATCTATTATTCTTATATTAATTTTATTTAAATTTCATTTTTGATTTATTTAAAATTTTTTGAATTTTCTTATTTTGGGATTTTTTTATAATTTCTTTTAAGTTTTTCTTATTTTTAATATTTTATTAATAAAATATTTTAATTATTTTGCGATTTTTTAATGTTTATGATTTTTCTGATTTTTTTGAATTTTTTTCTGATTTTTTTTTTCAATTTTTAATGAATTTTAATGATTTTTTAATGAATTTTTATATTTTCTGTATTTTTATATTTATTTTTTCGTAAAATATTTTTAGAAAAAAAAAAAAAAAACCGACACGTCATCGCTTTTGAACAGTACCGGTCACATTTTTAACTTGATGTACAAGTAAGCCAGATTGGAGGTTTAATATGCTAAATTTGCCAACTTGAATGTTTAAAGCGCTTGTAAAATACTCTCAGGGTTTAAACCTTGAAGGTTTTTTTATGCCATTTCAGATATGACAATAGAAGACTTTTGTTCTCTTCCTTTGTTGCGTTCATTTTCGTAACTCTTAAGACATAAAACTGATTTTAATTATAAATCTTCTATCAATCGTTTCTACACTGACGTATCCAATATTATATACCAGTCTTTTTAACACAACCACATAATCATCACTCTACAACATCCAGCTCCTCTCGCACCAAATATCATTTCTTAGACCAGAGGAGCACCAGAAAAGAATGGCATGTGTTTCTGTTCCAAACCAATTCCATCACGATCAAGACCTTGCTTGATACGCCCCAAACGCCTTGCATACAAAACTTGCTCAGACACAACAGGCAATCTTATCCTCTGATATTCCTCAAGACCCAAACGTAGATTCTCACGTCCACAATTCTCCAAGCATTTGCCTAACACTTCCGCATCAAGAACCGACATGTTCGTGCTTCTCACACCATGAGGGGTCGTGGGATGAGCTGCGTCTCCAACCAGCACGACATTCCCCCAGAAGATCCTTTCCAAAGGGTCAGAGTCGTAGATAACATTAAGGAAAGGCTCTTTAGTTTCTTTCATGAGTCTCGCTAGCTCGGGGATCCAGATGGTGTCTGCTTCTTGATGCATCTTATTGATCATTTCTTGGCTTACTTTTAGCGTAACAGAGTTGCTCTGATATATTGTAAGCAGTATAGTAAATCATGAAAACTAATTGAAAAAGCATTTTATTCCAATAATAGAGAAAGGAGTTTGTATTTAACCTTAAGCTCAGGCTCTGGTTGATTAACATACCAAATCCAGTTAAGCTTCTTGTTAATAAGCTCGTAGAACACGGTATGAGTATCCCTAGCGAGATCAAAATACAAGCATCTCCCAAGATCTGGATACTCCCTCTTGATTCCAGCTACTATCTCTGAGTTCTCATCACCTGAGAAATCAAAAACACCTCTCCAAGCGCAATAACCAGAGTACCTTAATATAAACAAAACCAAAAAGATCAAGTCCACAAAATATCAGAAAAATAAATATCATACTTTTGAATGGTCAAGAAACAGCTTGTAGTTAGACGCCTTATAGAGGATTATTTTAGATTTAGACCGAACTTAAACGTTCTAAGCCGATTTTTTAAATTAATATTTAGAAAATAGTTTCATTCAGACCCTATTTATCGATTAGGTTTCTCCTATACCGATTTTTAGAACATTGTTTTATTACGAACCACCGATTTTTAGAACATTGTTTTATTACAAACCTCAGTTTAAGGTTTGGTAAGAACGTTTTCCGAATCGAAGAGAGACACCCATCTGCCGCAACGAGCAAGTCTCCTTGAATCTCAACAGTTTCTTGAGTTTCCATAACTAAACTCTTTACTTTTACAGTAGTTTCATCTTGAGACAATGTGAAAGACAGAAACTTATGTCCCCAAAGAAACATGGTTTCAGGCAATGCGTCAAACAGAAGACTGTGAATGTCTGACCAATAAGCTGCTCGAAAATCAAAACCCTCGTCTCTCGTTAGAACTCGTGTCACTTTCTTCTCACTATCTGTTGCCTGATTCTATATAAACCCAACAAACACAAAGAAAAGTTAAAACAATACTCTTAAGTTGTTTGTGTTAGAGGTCTCGGGTTCGAATATTAATATTATATGGTTTGGTTTCAATTTGTTGCAACTTGTTTACCTGATCAATGGAGAGAGGCAACGTGGATTCATCTAAGAGATGTGGACGTGGAAGCCATGACTTGATGATTGTGCGAGCTTGAGGATCGAGTCCGAGTCCAGCACCAGTAGGACTTCGAGCAGGAGGTTCGGATGATTTCTCGAGTACTAATACATCCCAGCCTGCTAACGTGAGCGAGTGTGCGCACGATACTCCTGCTATACTTCCTCCTACGATGATCGCTTTCATCTTCTTCCCCATGTCACTAAATTTCCTTCTTTCAAATGATTCTGCTTCACTCATGTTAACGATTGAACCTTCTGACTCAAGCTGAAGGTTAGATCTATATGGGCTTAGTGTAGGCCCACAGTATATTTTAAGCCCACAGTATATTTTAAGCCCACAGTATATTTTAAGCCCACAGTTTAGGCCCAATAATTTTACGTCTTTAATAGAATTCAACCAACTCATTTCGCTGATGTTAATGACTAAAACCCTCTGCGTGAGCCAGAAGGTAACTATGTGGGCTTAGTCGAGGCCCAGTAGTAAAGCTTCCCTTCGATATTTCTTTCTTTGTCGACGGCGACGAATAATCGATATCTCTCTCCTTCGTTTTCGCAGTTCTAGATTGTTCGTGTAGAGAGGGAGACAGCGATGGGAACAGGGCGAGAAGTCAGCGTGTCGCTAGATGGAGTCAGAGACAAAAACATGATGCAGCTTAAGAAACTCAACACTGTTCTCTTCCCGGTTCGCTATAACGACAAGTACTACGCTGATGCGATTGCATCCGGCGAGTTCACTAAGCTTGGTTCGTCTTCTTTACTTTGTGGTTTCTCGGAATGTGATTTTGAGTTCAGATCGGATTGCGTTTAATAGGAAAAAAATTAGTTGATTTAAGGTGTATGAATTGTTTTGTGAATCTGTGTGATTAGGATTTGTAGACAAGTTTGATTAATCTATAAAGCGATCTCATTGCTATTTGATCTGGTCCTGTTACTGTTTTTCCTTATTTTTGAAGCCTTAATAGACCAAATTTAGTTTTGTTAAATAGACTCATGTTTGAGCTTTGTGTTCGTGTTTCAATGCCAATGTGCACAGTTGATGCTTCTTGTTTTCTCGTAATTAAAGTGTTTTTCTCGTAATTAAAGTGAAAGTTTTATTTTTCTAGCTGTCTTATTTTTGCTAGTTGTTTAGTTCCCTTTTTGGTTTCTCTTTGAAGAATGTTTTCTGAGTCTCTTGCTTATGACTGCATATTCTTCGGTATCTACTAGTCCTTAATTATATGCAAAGCACGAGGAAAATCTTTATAAATATGCAATTATGAAACTAATTAAAGACTGTTAACATCTTAAATTCGTCAGTATCTTTATTTGACTTGTGTTATATTGTTCTTCGTATCACATAGTTTTCTCCGGTTTGTGAGACATGAAGTATGTTTTAAAAATGGATTTTTTTTTTTGCTTTCCCTCAGCTTATTACAGTGATATATGTGTTGGAGCTATCGCTTGTCGGCTGGAGAAGAAAGAAGGCGGCGCCATGAAAGTGTATATAATGACACTTGGTGTTCTTGCACCATACCGCGGCATTGGCATTGGTGAGTCATAAATCTGCTATGCTTAACTTGCATCTTTACACCAAGAAATAACAGGAATGATATGTCAAGTTTGTGTGATTAGATAGTAACTTGTTTTTTTTTTTTAATTTTGCAGGTTCAAAGCTATTGAATCATGTTCTTGACATGTGCACCAAGCAGAACATGTCTGAAATATACTTGCATGTTCAGACAAACAACGAAGATGCGATCAACTTCTACAAGAAGTTTGGGTTTGAGATCACAGATACCATACAAGACTATTACGTCAACATCGAGCCTAGAGATTGCTATGTTGTCACCAAGTCCTTTGCTCAAGCTGAAGCGAGCAAATGATGACAATTACGCCACTTGGGGGAAGCCATTCTTCCCCCCAGTTTGTTTGTTTGTTCAATGAAGGATCGTTTTTTCTTTTTATTTGAACAACATGAAGGATCTATTCTCAAAAGTTCTGATGTTTTGGTTCCCTGAGTTTTGCGTGTTTTGTTGACCCTAAAGTTTCTTATCGATCACAAAGTTACAGATTCATGGTTATCTAGTGGACCCCTTTGGTTTTTGGATCTGCTTAACTTGTCAGCTCAATTTTTATTACTACTGAGTATTGTGGTGTTTGTTATCTTGCTCGTCTCGCAAGTTTTATCAAATGAGGTGATGCTACACAGATATTGATGTTTCATTCTTACAATTTCGTTTTATAATGTAAAAAGATGCCAAAAAATGAATAGTCTAAGTTGAACAAAAGAAACACAAGCGTCTGTAGTCCAACGGTTAGGATAATTGCCTTCCAAGCAATAGACCCGGGTTCGACTCCCGGCAGACGCAAATCTTTTTCCTTCTGCCTCCTGTCTTCAACATCCCTAACTGTCTGTCTTGTTTTCAAAATTGAAAACTCATTTTTTTCTCTCAAAGCTATTGAATCATGCTCTTGACATTTGCTCCAAACAAAACATGTTTGAGGTATACTTGGACGTTCACACGTTGAGGTATACTTGCATGTTTGAGGTATACTTGACATTTGCTCCAAACAAAGCTATTGAATCATGCTCCGGCTTTGGACTTCCCTTGTAGAAAGATTGATAAATAAAAAAAAAAAAAAAAAAAAAAAAA